GTGTGGTGCCCTCACTTTGTCTCTGACTGATGACTGTGTCCGCCTGTCCACTCTAGTTCTAAATCCCATAGCGTTAGGTTGTGTGTATGCTCTCTCCTACTTCACTCCATCACATAACCAGGTCCCAGGCTAATTCGGGTCGTTCTCTCACTAACAAAAAGTCGTGGCCCATAGTGGAGTCCGGCAGCCGACTGGGATAACCGGACAGCCCTGTTCAGGGATGCGTTGCCTGCCCCCGCGAGGGGGAGGGGGCTAGAAAAAGTGCCCTAAAGATCGCTGGGAACCACGCTGTCTGTAGGCTGGCCGTGGCCGCAGACAAAAAACACACGGTCGAAACAGCCAAAATCGAAACAACAACAACAACAATCACTCTCTTCCTCTTCCAGCCTATTCTTCTTCTTATCCTACTCCTACTTTTCGCCGCCTCAGTCGCCAGACTGGCAGGGTGAGCCCGCTCACTCTGGCAGCCTGGAATGTTCGTTCACCTTTAGACAATCCGAGGAGCAACCGACCGGAACGGAGGACGGCGCTAGTGGCACGAGAACTGGCGCGCTACAAGGTGGACATCGCCGCACTCAGCGAGACCCGATTCTCCAAACAAGGCCAACTGGAGGAGGTGGGTGCCGGCTACACCTTCCTCTGGAGTGGTCGACCCAGGACAGAGCGACGAGACGCGGGTGTCGCCTTCGCCATCCGGACCGACATCGTGGGACGACTACCCTGTTTGCCGCAGGGAATCAACGACCGCCTCATGAGCCTCCGTCTGCCTCTCTGGGGAGGCAAATTCGCCACCATCATCAGCGCCTACGCTCCGACGATGACCAACCCCGACGCCGTCAGAGACAAATTCTACGAGGACCTGCACGCCCTCTTGGCGACTGTGTCGAAGGCGGACAAGTTGATTGTCCTTGGCGACTTCAACGCCCGCGTCGGCACAGACCATACTGCCTGGAGGGGAGTGCTGGGTATCCACGGTCTTCGCGGCTCAAACGACAATGGTCTGCTACTGCTTCGCGCCTGCGCAGAACACCGCCTCATCCTGACGAACACGTTCTTCTGTCTGCCGGAGCGAGAGAAGGCCACCTGGAGGCATCCTCGGTCGCGCCAGTGGCACCTGCTGGACTATGTCCTCGTCCGGAGGCGAGATCAGCGGGACGTGCTGGTGACGTAGGCGATCGCGGGTGCTGACGGGTGGACCGACCATCGCCTCGTCATCTCGAAGATGCGTATTCGCCTACAGCCTCGCAGGAGACCACAAGATAAGCGACCCCCAGGTAAGCTGAATGTTGCCTTATTGTCCTTGCCCGCTCACCATCTCCATTTCAGCAATGAGCTAGCTCAACGGCTAGACAACCTTCCTATCGCTGCCGCCGCCGACGACGCCGCCGCCGAGAACACCTCCGTGGAGAACCGCTGGCGTCAACTGCGAGACACGGTCCAGTCGACGGCGCTCGCCATCCTCGGTCACGCTCCCCGCCAACACCAGGACTGGTTCGACAACGACGCCGCCATCAGAAATCTGCCTGCTGAGAAGAACCGCCTACACAAAGCCTACGTAGATCACCCCACTGATGCCACCAAAGCTGCCTTCTACCGCAGTCGCCGCCAGCTTCAGCAACGACTGCGCGAGATGCAGGACGCCTGGACTGCTCGCAAAGCTGAGGAGATCCAAGGGTACGCCGACCGCAACGAATGGAAGAACTTCTTCTCTGCGATCAAAGCTGTCTACGGTCCGCCGACGAAGGGCACTGCTCCTCTCCTCAGCGCCGACGGCAACACTCTCCTGACTGAGAAGACGCAAATCCTACAGCGATGGGCCGAGCACTTCCGAGGCGTCCTCAACCGCCCTTCCGTCATCTCCGACGCCGCCATCGCCCACTTGCCGCAAGTGGAGACCAACGTGGACCTCGACCTCCTGTCATCTCTCCAGGAGACCATCAGGGCCGTGCAGCAACTCTCCAGCGGGAAAGCACCCGGATCGGACGCAATCCCTGCTGAGGTCTACAAGAACGGAGGTCCCCTACTGATGGATCACCTGACTGCGCTCTTCCAGGAGATGTGGCGTCAAGGCGAAGTCCCGCAAGATTTCAAGGACGCAACTATCGTGCACCTATACAAGCGCAAAGGGAATCGCCAAGTCTGCGACAACCAGCGCGGCATCTCCCTACTGAACATCGCCGGGAAGATCTTCGCTCGCATCCTGCTCAACCGCCTCAACAACCATCTGGAACAGGGCCTTCTGCCGGAAAGCCAATGCGGCTTCCGTCGTCATCGTGGGACCACGGATATGATCTTCGCCGCCCGTCAACTTCAGGAGAAGTGCCAGGAGATGCGGACCCACCTGTACTCTACCTTCGTGGACCTGACGAAAGCCTTCGACACGGTGAATCGTGAAGGACTGTGGAAGATCATGCAGAAATTCGGCTGTCCGGAGCGATTCACTCAGATGGTGCGTCAGCTGCACGACGGTATGATGGCGCGAGTCACGGACAACGGAGCTGTCTCAGAGGCATTCGCAGTGAACAACGGAGTGAAGCAGGGATGCGTGCTGGCACCAACCCTCTTCAGTCTTATGTTCTCTGCCATGCTGATGGACGCCTACCGCGACTAACGCCCTGGAATCCGCATCGCCTACAGAACGGACGGTCATCTCCTGAATCAACGGCGCATGATCTTCCAATCGCGCGTATCCACAACTACCGTGCACGAACTCCTCTTCGCCGACGACTGCGCCCTGAACACCACCTCCGAAGCGGAGATGCAACGGAGCATGGACCTATTCTCCGCCGCCTGCGAGAACTTTGGGCTGGTCATTAACACGCAGAAGACGGTGGTGATGCACCAACCGCCGCCCAACTCAGCCACAGCCCCCAACGCGCCGCCGCAAATCAGCGTGAACGGAAATCAACTGCAAGTGGAGGAGAACTTTCCGTATCTGGGCAGTACCCTCTCCCTCAACACCAAGATTGATGACGAAGTCGCCAACAGGATCTCGAAAGCCAGTCAAGCCTTCGGTCGTCTCCGAAGCACAGTTTGGAATCGCCACGGTCTCCAACTGAGCACGAAGCTGAAGATGTACAAGGCCGTCATCCTGCCGACGTTACTGTACGGAGCAGAGACATGGACGGTGTACACGAGACAGGCACGCCGACTGAACCACTTCCACCTCAGTTGTCTCCGTCGCATCCTGAGGCTGAACTGGCAGGATCGAATCCCCGACACGGAAGTACTGGAACGAACGGGAATCCCCAGCATCTACGCCATACTGAACCAAATGCAGCTGCGCTGGAGCGGCCACCTGGTGCGCATGGACGACGAGCGACTACCCAAACGACTCTTCTACGGAGACGTCGCGACGGGTTCTCGTCGTCAAGGAGGCCAAATTCGCCGTTACAAGGATACTCTGAAGTCCTCCCTGAAGCGCCTGCAAATCAACCCGACTAACTGGGAAGAGCTCGCTCGCGATCGTCCGACATGGAGGAGAACAGTGAAGACGGGCGCTGCTATCTATGAAGCCAACCGAATCGCCGCTCCTAAAGCGAAACGTGAAGCCCGCAAATCACAACTCCGCCCAGTCCGCAACGCCGCCGCACAACCTCCCCCTACGTGTCCTCGATGCCACCGGACATTCCGGGCACGAATCGGACTTGTTGGACATCTTCGGATCAACTGCACCTCTCGAACTGCTCCAGCCATCGTTCCCCCGCCTGCCTCTTCCTCGTCCTGTCTTCCGCCAAATAACTCTGACACTCCTTCTGCACCACCACTTCCATCCTCCTCCTTCTCCTCCACTTCCCCAGCGGTGGCCGCTTAGGGTGCCGTCTCACACATCGCCAACCACGACACAGCAACCGCAACCACCCCCACCCCTCCCGATTCCAGTGATGAGGATCAGGACTACACCTGCCCTCACTGTGACCGCACCTTCACCTCACACATCGGCCTGGTCGGTCACTTGCGAATCCATCGCACAGAGACTGGTGAACCAGTGCCTGGAGCACCAACCTACACCCACCGCACTCGCCTCCACTGCCCACACTGCCCTCGCACCTTCACGCATCGCATGGGTCTGTTCGGCCACATGCGCATCCACGAGAGCGGAATTGACCGCCGCCTTGACGCACCCACCCCGCCGAGCCCCACTCCCAATCCATCACCTTGTGCACCCACTAACCACTCCCCAGCCGACATCGACGCCACCGACCTTACCACCCCTCACTCCTCCCCTTCCTCCTCCTCTTCCTCCATCACTGCCACAACGAAGGCCGCTCCGGCGTCTGTAGCGCACGACTTCACCACAGCCGCACCTGACACAACAACAGGCACAAGCCCTGCAACCTCCATCATCAGACGTGAGGGCCAGGGCTACATCTGCCCTCACTGCGATCGCAACTCCACTTCACGCATCGGCCTGGTCGGTCACTTGCGAATCCATCGCACAAAGACTGGCGAACCAGTGCCTGGAGCACCAACCTACACCTACCGCACTCGCCTCCACTGCCCACACTGCCCTCGCACCTTCACGCATCGCATGGGTCTATTCGGGCACATGCGCATCCACGAGAGCGGAATTGACCACAATTCCGATACAGCCACGACATCCAACACATCCACCACGCCCAGACCAATCCTCGCTCCACCGTCACACGCGTCGATCACCACCACCGCCGCCGCCACCACCACCAACACCACTGCTTCCTCTACAGCTGACACCGACAACGCCGACCTCTCATGCCCACATTGTCCACGCACCTTCACCTCACGCATCGGCCTGGTGGGTCACTTGCGAATCCATCGCACAGAGACTGGCGAACCAGTGCCTGGAGCACCAACTTACACCCACCGCACTCGCCTCCACTGCCCACACTGCCCTCGCACCTTCACGCACCGCATGGGTCTATTCGGCCACATGCGCATCCACGACGACCTACGGTAGACAACCGCCGGTCACACCACACATTCCCTCACTCCCTACCTCCCAACACCATCACCCCACCAGACATCAACCCTCACACACCTCACGCACTCAACTGCCGCCTCCCACGCTAGTGGGAAGTGTGCATCTCGACTCGGTCCCCATGCGGCTTCGGCTGCACGGGTGACTTGTGTCTGAGACTATCCCGACACGTCAAGCGTCGTGGATAGGAAGGTTGCTGATTGAGGCCTGCTCTCGGTTCACGCAGTTCGTCACGTTGTGTGTGTGTGTTGTGTGTAGTGGCGGACTGGTGGGCTGGGGATTGGCTGCAGCAGCACCTTCCACGGCCCTCTCACGCAAGTGGGAGACATGCCGTTCTACCCCCGTTGTGTGAAATCCTGGTGTTTGTGTGTGTATGGGGGGCCAGGTCGTGCTGTGGCGCGCGCAGGCATGATCAGTCGACCATGTCAGCCACCGCGCCCATTCCCCACTCCAGTCTGCTGACCGGCTCGGACAGCGGCTGGGGTGTGGGAGTGGGAAGGGAGAGTTAGGTCGACGACTCAGCGCACTTTCTCCTCACTATAAACAATCTGACGCGCTTGAAGCTATCATGGTGCGCTAAAAGCCGTGGCTTGGAAGGTTGCCAAATGACGGGGTACCTTGGACCTCCTCCTTAACGGGAGGCGGTCTGAGAGTCAGGCTGCAATGGCTCCTTCTTAATGTGGCCTTTATGGCACTCCTACCACAGTGTGGGATCCGAGCCAGGCGTTGGCGGCACGCCCAGGTGCGGCTTCGGCCGTGCCAGCCTCCAAATCTCTGTTGTGTTGGTTGAAATCCTGGTTATTGTTGTGTGGACCAGGGGGTGTGGTGGAACGCCAAGGTGAGGATCCGTCCGAGCCATCCACCTGCGGCCTCCCCGTCTCCGGTCTTCTTGACTCTGTCTTGACACCGGACCCAGGCGGGGGAGGAGGAGAGAGTGTAGGTAGATGCAGCGCAAGTCTACCGGCACTATAAACCCCTGCGCAAGTCACCGTCCCTGCTCCCACCTGGTGTGGGGCATACGGTGGACATCGTCGAAATCGACGGTCGAACTGCCGTGTGTGTGAGCGTGCCCTCTAAACGGGTAACCTGTTAGATGCGCTGGACCAAAACGGGGGCCACATCGGACTCTGGCAGGCGTTATCTGTGAGTAATAACAAATGGCAAACATTTGCGGGGTGCGCTGGCGGACCCTGGTGTCGGCATTCGTCGCACAGCTGGACCACTGTCACCACCCCATTGTTTTGTGGTCAAATCCTGGTCATTTGTGTGTGGACCAGGGGGTGCGGAGTGGAGAGCCAAGGCGAGGATCCGTCCGAGCCATCCACCTGCGGCCTCCCCCGTCTCCGGTCTTCTTGACTTGGTCTTGACACCGGGCTCGGGCGGGGAGGAGGAGAGAGTGTAGGTAGATGCAGCGTAAGTCTACTGGCACTATAAACCCCTGCGCAAGTCACCGTCCCTGCTTCACAATGCAGTCTGTGGGGCACACGGTGGACATCGTCGAAATCGACGGTCAAACTGTCGTGTGTGAGAGCGAGTGCTACGAATACTCGGAAGACGTAACACACTGAAATAGCGCTAGAACAACATGAGGGCTACACCAGGGTTGCGCGCACCCAGTACAAATGCCATGCATGGCGAAGGAGTGGCACGTCTAGGCCCAGGCTCACGCCGCACCCGTTCTCGCCTCTTGCCTTTGTCTTGACACAGGGTCCAAGAGGGTGAGAGACTGCGGCAGATTCAGCCCCAGTCCACTAACACCATAAACTAATTCATTGTGTTCGCCGTGCTGTGGGGCACAAGGTGGACAGCATCGTTTGTGATGACCGAAATGTCAGACTTTTTGTTCACTGAGGTCGTCATAGTTAGGGACATAACATTCACGACGTATGGTTTAATCTGAGAACATACTTTGTCATTGCCAGCAGTACAGCCCAGATTCAACAATCTCCTCCATTCAAAATTTCATGTCGTCCCGTGTTCGCCGTAAGATACTGTCACCCCCACTCCTCTCAGCCATCCGAAACCCCCTCGGAAGACGGGGCTCGTCCATCAGCCTAGCTGCAGTAGGCCGCGCGGTGCGTCCACACGTGGCAGATAGTGGAACAACCCTCAAAGGAGGCTAACTGTGGAAGAGACAGGTCTGACGAGGAAGAAGTCACGAACCAGACAGCAGTGGTTGGACACCGACCAGATAAATCAGTGCAGTGGGGGCAGTATGGCATAACAAGTGTTGTCCGCTGTTCAATAATGACTTCTCCTGTCGTCCGGTCAAACCCTGAAGCCAGAACGCCGTAGGAGTGAAGGTGTTCAGATACGAATTCAAGAACCGCGGGAAGTCGTACCTACATCGAGGCGAGCCACGCAAATGTTATACGGTGAACCAAACCCTGACTGTATTTGGGCAACAGCGGGTCCGTGATCGGCACGGTCTGGCTAGACTCGGGAAGCACCGGTGGCGTGAGGAGGGGCAATTTTAAGTTCAATAACAACGGCAATAGCCGCCCAGCCATGGACATGCAAAACAATGCTAGACTGGAGCTCTGCATCCATCTCAGACGTCAGCTGAGACACTGGGAGAGTCGGTGCCTCTTTTCGGCATGGTTGAATGTGACGGTCCATGCAACATTCTACTGACACAGACGCTCAGTGTTAAGTCGACTGCACTTGCTCATCCTTATAGCCAACCAATCAGAGGTACTTGTGCGCGACCGACTGACTCCGGTAGACGCAGACGTGCCCTCTGACTTGCCGAAAGGTGTGCGTGGCTGGCTCGGCGCGTAGACGCGCGTCCCGCGCTGCTTATCTCAACTGTACTTTTGGGATCCATTTGTCTTTAAACAGGACTTCGTCTGGAGTTATAAGGGCTAAGAGGCACCCATTGCTTTAGCTGCTACACAAAGAGTACTTAAAGTAGACTGTTCAGGGTCAAATTGAACCTACCGAGTCACGGGTTGGCAGAAGAATCTGCCTGAAATCGACTACTAGCCAGACCGGTAACAGCAGGATCAAACTGAGACCGGAGATCAGCGTCAGCATTTGAAATTCGTGCAACTCCGTGATGATTAACGCCTGCAAAAAAGCAGCCATTCAGTAGTGGTGCACATGTAATTAAACCGTGTTTCACTGAAAAGACAGTGGTTATATTAAACGCAATCTGCTTTCAAATTTAATAGGCCAATATAAAATATTGATGAACCACCATACAAATACGATAGGTGACGGAAGTCGTCAAATATTAGCTGAAGTTATGAAAGGTGATTTCGGCAGGAAGGATTAACTGAAGTGGATTTGCAATGTTTGTTAACATGTGCCATCGTCCTAAGATATTTCTGTCAGGCCACGATGTCAGGCCTTGAATGTGTGCCCATGTGGTTGTTTGAAAAAAGACGCACTACCAAAAATAAAGCTTAAGTAATACGCATTCTCACGGATTTTCAGTGCCCTTATAAATCAGAACATAATTCATAGAAAGCATGCACATAAATATCGTCTTTTGTATTTATTTGCCAAAAAAGTACAACTACTTTCGATTTTACGACCCAAATTACCGGCATCGTCAGATTCGAAAAAAAAAATTAATTTCCGAGTAATTTTGAATACACTTGCCTTTTTCATGATAAATCCGTATGCCGCACCAGCTATGGTCGAGCCGAGGGCAGCTGCGAGACCCAAGCCATTGAACGAGGCCTCACCGCGAGAAGTGATCGCAACACCGGTTATTATCATTGTCAGAGCGCCATAGGTCTAAAATACCGCAAAAACTGAGAACTTCACTTGGTACAGGAGTAATTCAGGCGATGGAAGGATGCGTCAGGACGAAGTATAGAGTCATCAGACTGCATGCTGCTTCGAAATGGGAGGAAAGGCCAAACTATTTTATCGGATAAGCCCTGAGTGGAACCGGTGTAGTGGTGGTTGCGTGATCGGAAAGTGCTCGGTAAATTATAGACTGGAAAGCAGAACACTGAGTCGGTCACTGGGTCCCCACTTATCACCAAGTAGCTTTAAGCAGTCTTGCATGAAGAACATGAAGAGTAAGTTCGACCTGGCGCAGTTTAATGCTTCAAGCCGCACCGCTGGCCTCCAGGTCCTCCGCAATGTGCTGTCAACCGGGTGGTAGGTCGGAGGAGTAGGCGCCTGTCCAAAAGGGTACGAGAACACCCCCCTCCCACGGCATGGTTGTGAAAAGGCAAAACTAAAAGCACAAACAGTACCACTCGGGTTACAAAAGTTAATCTTCTGTGCACAGGAGAACCTGGCAGAAACTCCACGCCTACTGTGACCAAAGGTTGGTTAGTTGCATGCACACCTCCGCGCCCTCCCCCATCCCCCTAACCCCCCCTACCGCCTGATTCACTGTATCTTATTCCCCTCTCCCCCTCTTCTTACACCCCTGTAGTACGAAGACTAACCGTAATATACTCCTCTAATCTCTCACATGTTTTACTTGCATCGTGTTCCCATATAAATGCACGGGCCCCGCGAAAATTTATCGAGAACACACTTATGATCGCCAACTGGTCTTCAGACTACTTCCATGGGAATTTCCGCAACTCCAAAGAAGAACACCCACTACGACATCATGGAATGCCCCCAAGATGATCTTTGGATGAAACTTTTGCATAAAAAGAGCATGTAACGCGAGAATTCTGTAAGTTTATGCCGGAACTTTCACGTAGGTTGACTTCTGGAAACCCTCTCTCGCATATAGTGCTGTTGAGAGCGTTCACTGGCATGCACCAGGCAAACAGTTGATGAAACAGCACGTACTGAGAACCCCCACCGGGCTTAATTGAAGCCCGGTTCAGGTAGAGTAATGAACCAGGCTGTGTTGCATGCGTAGGGCGGGTCAGGTAGTTTTGTCAACCAATGAGCTCGAGTCTAGCTCCGGTTGTCTAGACACTGTTTTGTCAATAGGAAATAGTTGACGTGGGAGGAATTGAGTGGACCAGATGTAATGCAAGTCTGCTTTACTATAAACAGATTAACGAGTAAATCACCGCTACATTCTGACGACAGTAATGGACCTCGCTGTTTACAACTATCGAGTCATCGTGACTCCGCTGGCGCAAGCAGCCCCAAAAGTCACGGATTAGCAGATTATCAACGGGATGGCTAGCGTGACCTTTTGAATGAGCGTCAGTGTCGGCTGAGAGGCTTGTGTACATCATCAAGAACGTACATCAAGAACGTCTCCGAGGCCGTTAGTCGCCTTCTTGCATCACTTGGGGTTGGAGTTGCGCACAGACCGAAGGCCACCATGAGGCGTCAAGTGATGAGACCAAAAGACTCACTGCTACGGCAAGAAACATCTGGAGTCGTTTACCGGATCTGGTGCAGTTTCGGACAAAGCAACTACGTCGGAGAAACTGGAAGACTGCTCCGGACGCGAATTGCCGAACACGTGGCAGCTGTACGGAGAAATGACGCCAACTCTCAGGTCGCGGCCCATTCGACGAGACCCGGCAACACATTCAAGTTAGATAAGGTCGAAATTCTCGCGAGAGGGGATAATCGCATGAGCCGCGAGTTGCTTGAGTCATGGTTCACGGGACCTCAGTCTACCAACAAGTGCAACGACATTCCCACTCCATATTCTGTGCTGAGGCATAGACTGGTCAATGCAATTGACCACTCGAGGAGCGCGCAAGCCGGTGAGCCAGATGGCCGAGCAATCATCACGCCAGCATCCAACACGGGTGATGAGGTGTCCACAATTAACAACTTGCATGCCGGCCATCAAGCAACTAGCGCACCAGCGGGCAACAATCCTCGATGAAGGGAGCACGGTTAATTGCTGTAGGTATGCGGTAGCATGGCAACCGCATCCTATAAATACTGCGACTTCCTGTACACGAGCCACCCTTTTCTGCAACTGTCTCTAATGATGGATTCAAGAGAGAATCCGAAACGTCAGGCGAATAAAGCCATTGTTCCAGCGATCGCTTCTTCTTCTGATCAGGCTTGTGTGTGTCAAAAAAAGTGGAATCAAATGACTGACCAGCCGCTGCGCCTACTGAGGTCACAAGTCGACAGAAACTGCTCCTTTTATTGGGACACACGAGGAACGGGAAGGGAGAATGCGATCAATGAGGCGCACGTCTTCTTGCCGTAATAGAATTTACGCGAAGGTCCCCATAACCCCACTCCGAAGTAATGCTAGTCTTCGTAGAGTTCGAAGAACCAGTTAGAATCTACGATATGTCAGCTTGTGTCCAGAGCAAGAACATGTCTCGAGTCCGTCGGATGTCGTAGTCCAAATCTGGCCAGTCGACTATTCACTAGGCTTTCTCGGTTGGCATGGATGCGCTTTATGGGCTATCAGATCATGTCGGAATAGGATATACGAAAGGTCCTATTTGTCTTATTGAATGCGACGCATTATACCGCGTGTTAGTTTATGCATGCAAGATTGGCATTCACCTTAATGTAAAGTTAAAATAAACTGGCACTTGACCGACCAACGTTTTGTGGCCGTCCTGACAGGCAAATTGTATGAAGGTAACCAGCGTGCTTCCCCGGTCGGCGAGGCAGCGTGTAGTCCTATCTAATTAGTATGGGGGGGACGTACGTAGACTCGCGTTGCGGTGGGGCGGCCACTTCAGGTCAATTAACGCGCTGGTTGGCCGTTCCAGGGCAATGCTTTGGCGGTTCATACGAAGCTTATCGGTTAAAATGACTTCGTGCAGCATCAATGATCTAAGAGGCACATCCGATTAAATTGTGCTTGTATTGGCATGAACCATCTCATTTAAACAGCAAGCAATGCCACAAACATCCATCCTTACAAGAGTCAGCTGGTACGCTTGCTTTTATGAGAAGGGAAAGTAGGCAAGAAATGCATGAAAAACAGATGACGAAATGTGCCTTTAAATACAAACTAATGCCTTAATGCATGCAAAAAGAGTTCTTCAGATCAAATCAACCGAAAATATTCATGTCACGATATCCGTGTCAAAAGAAACGCCAAATAACGGCACTCACCTTCAAAGGGAATCTCTGTCCAAGTAGAAGAGAAAATAGGACAACGAATACCGGCATTAAAGACTTCACTAGAAAAGAGATAAATCATCTACGATGAAATTACTTACCTACGTGGGCATACGCGGCAGAGAGCAAATGGACGCTAACATGCATGCATCCGATCGACAATATATTAGTGAGACCCAGAGATACCAGAAGAAGGTACGGTAGGCTACTAAGCTCAAACTTCTTTGTTTCTTGGATAAAACGCAATGAAATCCATGAAAATGTAAAGGTGTGTAACAACTGGCCAAGACTAGACGTCAGCGGATGTGGGAAGATCAAAAGGAGAGACTTGTTGAAGATGACGCAGCCCGTACCGACAGCACACCAGAGGAGCCATAGTAAAATAATGTCGACACGCAAGACCACTGGCATTTTCGGACTCTTTCGCGGGTACTAGTTCTTTTCCCAAGAGAAACTGTTTTACGCCCTGGCGATGCCAATAGAAAGGAAGGCAATACAACGACTGTGTTCTTCGTGGCCTAAATTGAAAAGTAAATGCCCTTTTAGGAAAAAAACGTAAGACAAACTGATCTGTTATAGCAACCTTGTGGAAATGTTCCGTGGGGATAAATATGCAGTGAACGAGGGTAAAACCAAAGCGTCCCTTGACATTACCCACGTCCACAAGTCATTTAATAACATTCTTACTGTTGGACCTTATGTGATAGGGGAAAAAAACAAAGTGTGAGCACGTTTGAAACACAGTGAGCCTTTGAACACGAAGATCGAAAGAATTACTTTTAAGTTAGGAATGGGCTTTTTAAACAATAATTTCAAGATAATGGCGAAAAAAATAAAACCATGCAGTTGGCAGCGCAGTTAAAAGTCGGCGGAGACTACAGATATTGGATCGACTGTGAAACTGCGGGCATTAGAACTGAGCATACATAGATTGGCTTAATTTGCCGCTGGATAAAGGAATATTTTCAGCTATAATAGAAACCATTTAGACAAGGATGAATGGAATAGACAGCAATTGTAATCTACATAACCACTTTTCAGGCGATCGGAAGTTCAATATATTCTCTCCGTAGTACGCAAGAGGGGGGAAATAAGCCCACAGGAGGGTGCGCAAAAACGCACAAGGATGCCCTACAGGAAGGGCATTGTAGAAGACTATGACATAATTTCACATATAAGTGACCTAAGGCTGTTGAAGTGGGGATACCACCATGTACAGACGCCCGAGTGAATAGGCCTGTCAAAATAGCGTCCCCCTCCCTTGGTTCCATCATTCCGCAACCCCGATAGTGAGCACTAGTGAACTCTCTGTGACGGATCTAAACCGCAAGGTATTATCGGTTGTGTATAGGACAATAAACTGCTTATGGATATGAAACCACCCTTGCTGGATTTGACTTCCATCATGGCAGCAAAATCTGCAGGTGCTGCGGAGGTTGACGACAGAGTGGACCTAAGCACCAGCTGCAATACAGACGAACTACTGCAGACTGGAGAGCAGAGGGCTCGGGCACTACATTTGTGAATAATTGAGGCGCGAGATATCCTAACCACAACTGTCTCCCGACAAAAGAGAACGGGTATACTTAAGTCCACCGTTCGCGTAAAAATAAGCGGTCACTAATCAGAAACTCACTTCACCTGTGGCCGTCATAACGCCGCCAGCACGAGCTCCATGAAATCACGGAGACACCAAATGTCTCTGGGTAATCGCACACCCGATTCATATTTCCGCCAAATATAAGCGTAATCACGTTGAGTTACATGGTCTGACCTACCCGTTTTTTTAATATGTCCGAAGAATATGTGATTTTGTATTAAATGTCACATACTGCGCATTACTTACAAATAGTTTCATTTATCTGACAAAGAAATTCAGTCAATCGGTGCAACTTCGAGGACATGGAATAGTCAACCTTTCCAGGCCTGGTGTATCGGTAGCTATGAACCCTGCTGATTTACACTTCCCCAATAAAGGGTTGGCGAACGCCGCGGTGTGAAATAATAATACTTGCGGGACAAAGGATCTCGAAGAACTTTATAATTTCTGTTTTCCCACGTGGTATCCGACATCACAATGAAATCGGTAGATCTTTAATACAAACGCTAACACACCGACGAAATGCGGTGCACAACTTTTCAGGACGGCGCGTAGGAACTCGACGACCTAGTGCTATTGTTATTTAGAGACTTCTGCTTGAAAATACGAATATATATCATCACAAGTTATACTTGGTACCAACTAAAGGGCCTGAACTTTAGTTTCCAATTTCAGTGTTATTTATCAATGTAAATATGCTACGGAAAGCATGACAATCACCTTTTTATTTCGACTTAAATACTGAGCGTAAAGTTTTTTCTAGTCTTCAAGGCAGTGCTTGTTACCGTAGAATATATGGATTTTAACCGAGTCATTCCGATTGAAATGAAATGTAGGACAATGACACCGTAAATACATTAATCCCCAACGGCACATACAGTTACGCTCCTGTTATGCCATATATTCAAAGATGCAGAACAGAGGCTTTTTTATGCATGCTGACAATTTTTAATTGCCAGGCGACTCAAGTTGGCAAATTTTGACTTTCCTGTTAGCAAATGTGTCCGTCCAAAAGGTTAGGCCAAACTGGAATAGACGGAACCACAGGCAGTAGCAAGGAGTCGCTTTTTCTACCCAATTTCTCCTACGAAACGTGTCATTTGTCTTTTCTGAGCTCACGCTTTCTCTTCGGGATGACTGTCGTTCCATAATTTGGTTCGTTATTAGCATAGTACTTGATATGTAAACACGCAGACAACAATTGGTGAAACTGGAGGTTTTGGTAATTTATAGTCCCCTTATTGCATGCATTAATTCATAACTATTAAATTGAAGACAAAAGGTCCTATTGGGACTGCCATTTTCAGGAGGGAGTCCTACTATCAACGGTGTCCTGCAGGATACCGTATTATGTACTGCTGTCTACTTGGCTAACATTAATGAAATTTCATCGGCAGTAAAACATGCCCAGTGTTTTATATGTGCGGATGATCTCCAAGACGCATATTCTTCCTCCTGCGTTATGACTGATAAATTATTATGCAATTTAACACTCATGTTTCCCACTGGACCCTTAATAATTTGAATTGTTTTACTATGGACTTCAGCATTTTGTGCAATTATTTAGAGGGAAAAGATAAGCTTTGTTTCTACTTATGTTCAGATCAGTTCGGTTTATTTTGGGAAATTTTAGCGTTCACCTTCATGTTGCAAGCAACAAAGATGTTGTGGTGTCTAAGCTGAAAGAGCGTAATTTGGATCCAATTATTCTTTGGTAGTTCAGCTAGTTTCTTTCTAATCGGGGTTGTCTCTTCGGTTTTCCTCTGTAAAAACTTAGACATTTTACAACGCGCCTGGCCAGGCGTCACGGATAAAATCTGTGAATATTATTGTCAAAAGTATCGTATATGAAGAGCAAATGCATTGGTGGACGTAAAGCACAATTTCCAAATTCTTCTGCACATCTAGCCGCCCACGCCGACAATTACTATCTGCATTGTCTAACCTTACCATTTGACTGGAGTTCACATCGTTTGAACATTTCCCTCTGGGCGCTTGAAAATGAAAGCATTTTAATTATTATATTAATCACGAGTCATTATGTAAGATAACTAGTAGGCAGAGATATAACGGTTTGTTAACGATGGTACAGAGGTCGAAAATCAACTAGAAAGTAGTATGCAGGATACAATTTTTGACAGATTGCGACATGTGGAACGTTCCGCGAAAGGAAGCCCTACACACGGGACCTTGGAGACGCGCTTTATGACAAAAGGTAAAAATGTAATCAAAAGAGTTGTCGTTTTAAACAAAAATGGGAAAAGCTCAGGTTCGAGCTTCGGCTGTTAAGTAGCTCCCGGTTAAATATTTAGCACTGTCCTCAGTACTGGTATCGTCGATGGGTAAGGGTATAGTGACTCTTTACGCTAACAATGTAATTTCCTTCAGTAAGGACGGCTAAGGAGTAAGGGAAGCAAACTGGAATTCGGCCGCGGTAGGGCTTGAATTTGACAAAGCATGCATTGACATGGTGAAGGTCACGGTGTATGACTGTAGCGGCCGAAGACGTCAAGGGTAGCACACAACCACGTAACGGAATATCGATAAAGAGATCCTGGCTTGTGTTGATCTGAATACGATTGTTAGCAGTTCACGATACTCATCCATACATAAAGGAAGAAGAAGCGATCAGCGGACGAAAGATATAATGAACAGAAAAGGGAATTGAAAAGATGTATAATGACAGTTAAAAGTACAAACGGGATGAGTTACAACCGTCGAGTGACCTGTCTGGATAGAGAGGCGAGGCCAACATGCCAGCTGGAAAACCGGTGGGGAGCGCAGCGCTGGGGGCAACTGCAGGGAAGGGCCGAGGGGGTTGCCGATGTAGTGTGGGAAGCGGTACGAACGTTACGATACGATACGGAGCGGGAGAGGGGATCGGCGGAAGAGAGTGGAAGGGACACCGGCCATCTTCACCAACATGCGGCTACGCCATCTCCATCCTAGGCCCGCGCGCCAAATGTGTCACGACATTCAAACAACCCTATACAGATAACGGGACGTTACATAGCCTCCTCCTGAGATGCAGCACTGTCCTCAGTGCTGCTGGAGTTGGAGCTCGGGAGGGTGGGAGGTGTGTGCTCCTCTTCATCCCACCGCTGCCACCAATGTAGCGGCCGAAGACGTCAAGGGTAGCACACAACCACGTAACGGAATATCGATAAAGAGATCCTGGCTTGTGTTGATCTGAATACGATTGTTAGCAGTTCACGATACTCATCCATACATAAAGGAAGAAGAAGCGATCAGCGGACGAAAGATATAATGAACAGAAAAGGGAATTGAAAAGATGTATAATGACAGTTAAAAGTACAAACGGGATGAGTTACAACCGTCGAGTGACCTGTCTGGATAGAGAGGCGAGGCCAACATGCCAGCTGGAAAACCGGTGGGGAGCGCAGCGCTGGGGGCAACTGCAGGGAAGGGCCGAGGGGGTTGCCGATGTAGTGTGGGAAGCGGTACGAACGTTACGATACGATACGGAGCGGGAGAGGGGATCGGCGGAAGAGAGTGGAAGGGACACCGGCCATCTTCACCAACATGCGGCTACGCCATCTCCATCCTAGGCCCGCGCGCCAAATGTGTCACGACATTCAAACAACCCTATACAGATCACGGGACGTTACATGACGTCACGGATTAGAAGAGTGGTTAGGAATGAGACATGTATGACTTCAAAGGATCCTTACCAGGAGTGGTGAAAGTTTGCGGAGGTTCTGCTCATGGATGACGGGTTATGATGCAAAATCT